TCAAGTGAGGGTCATTGGGAGGGGAAGGGCTGGTTGGGAGGGGCTTCCATGGGTTGGTTAAGGATCAGTGTCAGTATCTCTGGTTGGCTGTGCAGTTCATTTGGATTCTGAAGGTTTCCTAGGCTGATGGTTTTGGTGTTGCTCCAATCAAACTGGTGATGTTTGGTATCGCTGTGGGTAGAGAGTTAAAGATTTGGGATCATGGTGTTTGTGGATCCTGGTTTTTAATGATGTTTGTCCCATGAAGGATTGGTTGAAATTGTTACAGTTACAATATTATATTATTATTGTGTTCTGCCAGGTTTTTTGAAAATTATTTCAAAGAAAAAGATTATTTTCTTGGACTGAACTCAACTCCTGTTGGCTCCATGGACAGGCCATTAAGTTCTCTTGGCAAACAGATATAAGAGGTTCATCACTGTCTTCTTCCAGTCTAGACTTCTCTCATGGGATTTCCTTTCCAAGTGATAATAAGCTTTGTCCTTCCTTACCTTTTTAATGGGCTCACACAACAAGGCAACATTTGTCCTATTAAATGTTCCTAATCAGAGGCATCCACCTGACCCACTTTTATCATTTGTCTCCCACTTCCCCGACTCTGCTTTCTTTCAGTAGAAGACACTCCTAGTAGAAGAAATTGGACAACCATTTGTCTAAAATGGTATAGGAGCCTCTGCTTGAGCATGGGGTTGGAGTAGAAGACTTGGAAGACTCATTCCAACTCTTACATTCCATCCCAGGTACTTTCAATCTCAAACTCTATTCTTGCTTACAGTTGATGTGGGGGTGATTTGCAAGCCAGAAAGGATTTCAGTTGCCAAGAGTGTCACCACTAATTATTTATAGGCTTCTAATAGAAGATGTAGGATGATATTGCTGACTGGGGAGAAAGAGGTTATGATCGTCAACAAATTTAATTTAATTTAGGCTCAAAGCTCTTAGAATGACCGAGAAAGAAGAATTAGAAGGAACCCAGAACTGCTCAATCCTCAAGACTTCAGCTGTGGGGATCTGCTTATTTATTGAGCATAAGAGTTAAAATAGTATTTTACAGCCCAGTTTTTCACAGTAAGGGAGATGAGGGCAATCATTACTCCAGCACATGAGGTCGAAGCAAATACAAATAAAGAGTCTAAGATAAATGCCAGATGGATTGTGGAACTAGTCATGTATCTATTTACATTAAATCCATTTATATGGTGTATATTTTAGGCTGATACCCTTAAGATTTGGCACTCTTGTGAAGTTACAAGTTTTGTTTAATGTTTGAACAATTTGAAGGACCTAATTTATGATGAGTGAATGAAAACTCTTCTAAAATTGGATGTTTCTGTAGATTATACTTTTTCAAGGATCAATCAATTTTTTAATCTCTCCTTGACAGGTTCCTATGATCCTATTTACTTGTTTGCAGCTTTACGTTCCATTTGGAAAGATCTGAAAATGTAACAGCAATAGACGAATAAATAAGATACAAGCTGCACTTCTTCCTACTCTTCCCAGGACTCTGGGTTCCAGCTCTCGTGACTCTGAGGATAAAATAATTTATATACAGGCATAAAATTAGTATTTTACGTAAGGATTTGTCATAGTAGAGTTTATTTTAATAGATTTTTACAAGACTTCTTATATAGCTTAAATACTTACTTCCTGTGACCCTGGACACAGTCCTTAAAAAACTTCATTTCCCCATAAACACTACCGATACACCTATTTGGTTGAGTATATTTGGCTTAGAATATTTTACAGACTGAGTGATGTTTCGAACTTGATGCCAAGTTGTAAAATGTATCTTCTTATATATTCTGTACGAGATTCTAAACCTTTTTCAATAATGCAGTTTAATTATGAAAAATATCACGAATAAGAAGGATAGCAAAGATTTAGACCATTCTAAATCAAATTGTAAGTCATTAGGTCCACTGCATGTGAACATTATTTGTTAATGAAAACTGGTTTGGTAGTTTTCTGCCCTGTCAGTGAAATGAAACCTGGTAGGAATTTTAAAACAGACATGCACTAGCTCATTTAAATTTCAAATTTAATTAAGTATTTATATTACTCAAACAATTTAAATATAGTGTAATATAAAGAGAAAGAGAATTTATAGAGAATCTATAAATGCAAATGACAGTGTTTTGGGAACATATTGATTAGATGGTTTGATGAAGTTAATTAATATAATTTAATATTATATAGGTGTAGCAAACCAAGTGATTATATACCCTTATACCCTTATGCTATGAATAAAATCAAAGGAAGGAGAGGCGTAAATATTTATCTTGAAGCTCCCTCCTGCTTCGGAGACTTGGAAGCTGCCTTTAGAATGAGAACTAATTTATTTTTGCAGAGTTGGCTGTAAGTAAATAAACAAATATTATTATGGTCACAATGGAAGAAACTAACTAACTATAGTTCAGGCTGCAGAACTGTGGCCTTCCTGGTTGTTCCCTTGCAGATGTTTCGTTACTCGCTGATGTTACCTCGTTGGGCAATGAAACATCTGGAAGCAAACAAGGAATCTCAGGGAGCAGAAAGAACTCCGATGTTATGTTAACAAGATGAATATATGTACAGACAGGTAGTCTCCATTTAGTAACCACAATTGGGACAGGCTCTGCTTAACTCTGTCATTAAGCAAAGCAGACACTAAGTGAAGCCCTAACTGTGCTTAGGATCTTACTTCAGGTTTCCTTTGCTTTAAAGACCTGGGAAAGTTGTAAATGCAAGGACTGGCCATTTTTAAAAAAAGATTAATTTTATTAAGGTTTATGATGACATCAAATGCAATAACATTTTAAAATAGGAATGAATGGAA